AAATTAAAGGACAACATATGCTACTGGTTCAAATATATGTTGATGACATTATATTTGGATCTTCTAGCAAAGAGTTGTGCGAATATTTTGAAAATATCATGAAGAAAACTTTTGAAATGAGTGCCATGGGAGAATTAACGTATTTTTTGGGTTTGCAAATTAAACAAACAGCTCGAGGTATTTTCATTAGTCAAACCAAGTACATACAAAATATGTTAAAACGTTTTGAATTTGGGAATCTAAAAGCTGCAATTACACCTATGGCCTCTACGATTAAACTAGACAAGGATGAGTTGGGTAAGTCAATTGACGAGAAGTTCTATAGAGGAATGATTGGGTCACTAATGTATCTCACTGCTAGTAGACCCGATATTCAATTCAGTGTGTGTCTATGTGCTAGATTTCAAAGTGCTCCTAAGGAAAGTCATTTGACTGCTGTCAAGAGAATCTTTCGTTACTTAGCTGGCACAATGCATCTAGGTCTATGGTATGATAGTGAGTCAAGTCTTGATCTAATTGGTTATAGTGACTCAGACTATGCTGGGTGCATAGTTGATTGTAAGAGTACTTCCGGGACATGTCAATTTCTCGGAAACTCTCTTGTGTCTTGGTTTAGCAAAAAACAAAGCTCTGTTGCTCTATCCACCGCCGAGGCTGAATACGTGGCCGCTGGCCTGTGCTGTACTCAACTCCTTTGGATGAAGCATTAACTTTGTGACTACGGGTTAGAAATAAAGTCCATGCCCGTATTGTGTGACAATACGAGTGCCATTAACATGGCAAAAAATCCCGTACAGCATTCTCGAACCAAGCACATAGAAATTAGGTATCATTTCATTCGAGAATTGGTTGAAGAAGGTCAAATTCAACTTGAGTTTGTGCCTACGACGACCCAATGGGCGGATATTTTTACTAAACCTCTAAGTATTGATCAATTCCTAATCATTCGTAGAGAACATGGGCTTATTCCTTCTAGTGAGATTAAAGATCTAAGGTGAAATTAACATGAGTTATTAAAATTAACTTAACATAAGAAACCTGCTAAATCTCTCGGCCCTAATCTATTCCTTGTGGCCTGGTAATTTAAGCCACTCACAGACTTTGTGGGCCGAAACCAGCGCCCTTCTCTGTCCTTCTCCCAGACTTGCTTGGGATTTCCACTGTCGAGCCCATTTCTAACTTTCTAATTCTCGGGTTGGAGCCACTCTCTAGGTCTGTGGGCCTAAGCCCAACCTCAACCTCCGGCAAACTCTCTAAACTTGGACTTCTACTTTCTAGTGAGCTTAAAGATTTAGGTTATAATTAGCTTGTGCTGTTGAGGCTCAAATTAATTTTCCTAAGTTTAGAGCTGCCCATCAGGCTTTGTGAGCCGATTCCCTTGAGTTAATTTCGTTCGTGTGATTCAAGGAAGGTAAAGCTTGCCTTTCCTTCTTCCTCTGGTGTCGAGCTGCATCCTAAAATCCCTAACAACTCAAGCTCTATCAATTCTTCGCAAAGATTCCCTTTCAAATCTTCCCTAAAGGAAGCTCGAGTCTCATGACGGGGGGATGCGATGGGTTGAAAGCTCGTCAATGTCCCAGGGGGAGAAAGACAAAGCTGCTGAAATAGCATTCATATCTTCTCCAGAGTATTCTTACTAGGAGTATCAGCTATTAGGCTTAGGGGGAGATCCATAACTACTCTTTGAGCAGTCTAAGAGTCCTTGTTTATTTTGGGAGTGTTAGTCTAGTTGTTTGTACTTCATCCAAGTATCAAATGTTCTTTGATTTTCGTTGCCTTTGAAGAAAATGATTCCTAGCTGCTTTTGGTTTATGTGTATTCTTTTAAGCATATTATTAGGACAGGCTGCACCAAATTGTTTGTTGAAGTGTGCAGTATACAGCAGCTATATATATTGGGCCATTGACAAGCTTAGGGGGAGTATGTTGAGTCAAGCATATCAATGGCTGCAATCAATGAAGGAAGATGCTACAATCTTGTAAGTAAAGGAAAGAAAATCAAAGACAACATAAAGGAGGAGAGATTCTGCAATCAGCAAGAACAATAAAGGAAAGAACTTCCCAATGGCTAGCTACAGGTCAAAGATGCTGATTTGCCACCTAGCAAATCAACACAAAGAAGGAAGGTTCTAACGGCTGAAAAATTAGAGAAGAAATCAGATCATGAAGATTGGATACAACAGTGTTCTCAATCAAATCATCACAAATAGGGAAGGAATTTGAATGACTAACGGTCATATTCCTGCCTATAAAAGGCGACCTGAAGAACTAGCAATGGTAAGCTTTCAAGAGATCAAAAACTAGCTAAGTCAAAAGGGGATTTTGTGAGAATAGCTAGAGTGATAGGAAAGGGGTTTCTCAAAGGGTTCGGGGAGAATTGCTTTGAGGGTTAGTGTTGGGGAAACACTGGTTTCGAGTTGCTGGGGAAGCAATTCGGGTTTGAGAAAAGAGTGTTAGATCAATTGGGTAGAGATTGATCAAAGGGCTCTTGGGTAGATTGCTTGTAACGAAGAACTTCAACGCCATATCATAGTGAATCGTCAGAGATCACTCAATCGTGATTCTCTGACCGTGGAGTAGTCAGTATTGGGATCCTTATTCTCCCAATACTGGAAACCACGTAAAAATCGTGGGCTGTGTTCGTATTCTGTTTTTTCAGTTTCAGTTTTGTATGCGCCACTATGTGTGTTCTGTTTCAAGTTTGAGTGTGCAGGGAAATTAGATCAAGAAAAGCTAAGGAAGGCAAAGCGGCAGAACTGGGTTGGAGAATCTATCGCGACCTGGTTTGATTTAAATTTCATCTTAATTTTCTGGGTTTATACTGATGTGTTCTTTGAGTTCTTCCCATGTTCTTCTCTCAACTATAATTTGGTCTCTGCTTGATCGAAATTACTCGGGCGGGAAAGGTAGTCTTATTTTTAATTAAAACACTGTCGTTTGAGTGCTTCTCTTAGAAGCTGGGTCGGGTTTAGAAATAAGTAAACTGGGCTTTCGATTTTATTTTTTACTTTCTTCTAAACTCAAACCATCGGGCTTACAAGCCCATTTGTGTTAGACTTAAGTTCTAATAGGTGGGCTTCGATTTAGCTGTCTAAGTGAGAGTGAAACTTTAATTAATTAGCATAACGTGTTGAAAGAAGCAAAAGGGAGTTAGGTGTTTTAGGACATATATTAAATCTCTCTCTAATCTTTCTTGTGCCAAATATTATCATTGAGCTTAAATTGTGGTCAAGTTATTTGAAAGACAGGTATTAAGTCTCGCGCTCGACGCAACCAACACTCTAGCCCTTCAAACTGTGAGTGAGATGGGGTCAGTCTACGCCCTTACGTTTAACATCTTATTAATACTTGATCACTTTACTTAACTGAGTGGAAGTTGTTTTGTACTTCCACTATTAAAAAGCTTAATTCTTAAAACTGTATGGTAGTTACTGTTACTCTCCATTCTTAAAGCTCAAATCTCGACTTAAATACTTGACTAACACGAGGATCTCTCACTATCTAGTCCGGTTGCTAGCTGATACATATGAGAAGCCATCCAGGCTTTTCTTAAACTTATCATGGAAGGCTCTTCTTCCACGATTCTCAAGAGCATAACTGCTGCTCATCTTAAAAGTCTCAAGAGCATAATTGCTGCTCTATCTCAACATCTCAAATGGCAACGGACTGGCGCTAGTGACTAAAAACACTTAAAACTATTTCACCTTATTGAAGGTGAAGAACTTAAAATAAACTTGTTTCGTAAACGTAAACTTACTTGTAAGTAAAGCACGCAACAACATAAAACTGAAAGCATAACTCACACAAATCATATGACATCATATAAGCATACAAAGGCAAGTACGGCACATAGCAGTCAAATCTCAAAAACATAAATATCGTAGGCGTATAATTTACCCCCTTTACACTCACCTTATAGATGAAGTACCCCACTTTACGTTGATCGCCCATCTCCCGAGATGAATGAGTCGGTGTTGCGTATAGAATTATTATCATTATTATTTCCCTTATTTGGATTAGTCTTATTATTAGTGGTTATTAGAGGTTGATTAGGAGTAACTAAGAGGGGTTTGGAGTGACGACCAAGTATATGGCCGAGTAGCCTTTAGGGTTTTGAGAGTCGTTTGTTATAAATATGTATTTTGTGGTTCCGTTATGGTTATTGAAGAAGAAGAATATTTAGTTTATCGTAACTTTTATCATTCGTATCTTAGGAGTAGACGTAATTTAGCTATTTTCGTCATGGTTGCGGGAATTTATACGCAACAAATGGTATCAGAGCCCGGTTGCGAGATACCGAGCTCGGCGAGGCTCGCATACAGGGCACCAAATTATGTGGAAACCCTTCCTCGTCGTGTCAATGGCTGCCCTAGCTATTGGATGTCGTTGCATCCGCCATTGTCGACCTATCCATCATCGTCACATCACCCGCCATGGTCATATCCTGATGGACACATCCGTCAAGACCTGGAGAGCCTAGCCGCCAGGGCTAGAGCTGTCGAAGCAGCTTCGCACCATCCGCCTTGGTTGTACTGACCATATGTGGTTCAGGCTCAATCCTCGTGCCTGCCGGGATGGGAGGCGTTGGACTAGAGAGATTAGTGGAATCGCAGAACTCGTAACCACATAGAGGGTTGGAAGGCCGCGGGTCAAGCCTGGGGAGCGACATGGACGACCAACGATGCTCAAATCGCACGTCCTCAATTCGTTGTTGTCGACCAGGGTTGGGTTCGTTCCGATCGTGGTGGAGAAGAAGCACTACAAGATCTCCGTCAACATCAACGAACGGTGGTGAGAATCCTTGATGACTCTTATTGCCAAGGAAACCGGGACACGGAGGAGTCGGTGGAGGTCCAAGGTTCGCTCGTTGGTCAGCTTCAAGGCGAGGGTCACGGCTTGCAGGATGTGCCCGAGACGCCGCAACGTGGACAAGCTTGGCTTCAAGTTGAGTTGGAGAAGTTGGAGAGCGAACTCAGTTCCCTCGCGGAATCTCTAGGAGAGATGGCGACGGTTATAGGTTCACAGGCTGCTGTTGATCCTAGCCTGACGGGAGAGTTGTTGCGGTCAACGACGAGCAAGGTGGAGCCCGAGTCACAAGCAGCAGTGAATGGAGGTTTTGGCGGGGATCAATATCCACCGGCAAAGAACCCGATCATGTCACCTATGAAGTGGCCAATTGTGGTGGCGTCTGCAGCCGTCAAGACAAGCGTCGAAGAGGAGTCTCACCAAGAAGCGGAGTGCGGTGGGGATAAGCCTGGAGGAACCGTCGTCGGTCACAGCTGGGGAGGTTTGGCGAGCGACCATGACGATGACAGGTCGGCGGCTGTGCTAGGTCAGGGATCACGACGAGCCGGATCGACTATTGGGCCGTCAAATGTCGTCTGTGGGCCAGAATTACAGCCTGTTTATGTTTTGGATAGCATGCAGATTCAAGTACCCCTTGGGCCGGGAATGGGTGGATTAACCGTAGCATTATTGTTTGGGGTTGGACCGGCGAAGCAAGAAGGCCATGAAATCGCTGCGCGAACTTCTCTTGAAGGAAAGGACGTCGAAATTCATGGAATCTGGGCCGGTGATTTTGCTGATTCAAAGCGTGGCATATTGATTGACCGGTGCAAGTTTGGGTTCAAAATGAAGGAGGTGAGGTCGATTAATGAATAGATTGGTCCTAGGTTGTGGATTGATGGAGGAATGCATGGCATGAGTGATTATTGCTTGGGGGATAGCGTGGACGTGGAGGAGATTGAGGAAGCTGGTCACATGAGTTGCTCGAAGGAAGGGAATGGGGAGCTGGTAGACATTTGGCCCCTGTATGAGATGACGGCCACTTTAAGCAAAGGGAAGCTCGATTGGTGCGCAGAGTAGGAGCCGATGGCGTTTGAAGTGGTTGGAGATAGGAATTTTGTTCGAGTGCCTTGGCGCAATTGGAAGTTTCGTAAACAAAGTTGGCGTCAACGAACAATAAATCTCTCCATTATCATCAACACGTGGGATCGGTTTTACTACATTGATCCGGGTTGAGTGCGGTTTGAGTTAATTCGCAACTTAATTCGAACCTTGGGGACAAGGTTCTTTCGAAGAGGGGAGGAATGTTGCGTATAGAATTATTATCATTATTATTTCCCTTATTTGGATTAGTCTTATTATTAGTATTTATTAGAGTTGGATTAGGAGTAACTAAGAGGGGTTTGGAGTGGCGGCCAAGTATATGGCTGAGTAGCCTTCAGGGTTTTGAGAGTCGTTTGTTATAAATATGTATTTTGTGGTTCCGTTATGGTTATCGAAGAAGAAGAATATTTAGTTTATCGTAACTTTTATCATTCGTATCTTAGGAGTAGACGTAATTTAGCTATTTTCGTCATGGTTGCGGGAATTTATACGCAATAGTCGACTGAATGAGGCTATTCGTGGTGTGGACGCCACAAATTCCCATGCCTTGACCAATCTTCGCTCCCTCGTAAAATGTGGTCCAAAATATTGATAGTTAGAGAACATGATAATCACCCAATTGATCTCATCTAGTTCCCACTGATTTCCTTACGTAGGATTACTAACCCATGCTAGCCATTGGGGCTGTCATGTCGAGGCCACCTAGCCTGGTCGAGTTCCGTTGAGGCTTCGTCGTAAGCCTCTCATCTGTCTCCATGCTTGCTCCCCCTCTCACCATCATCGAGAACAATTCTAGCCGACAAACTATGGTACACGAGAAGGAGGACTGGGTCGTACGTAGCTGCGTGTACGATGAACTGGATTGCACAGTGGTTGGCTGCTTCTTACCATCGGGGACTTGCTGCTTCTGGTAAATAGTGGCTGCTGTTATCACAGAGGTTAGAGAGGCCATTGACGGATCCGTACGTGCTATGGAGAAAAAGTAGCGGCTAGGATTTTCTTTTCGGTTTTTCCTCAGCGTTAGCTTTATATGTAGATCATGAAGGGAATAGAGACTAAGAGAGTGGCCGCTTTTCCTTAGGGTTTCCCAAGATTAATTAGTTAATGTGTAAATTAATGAAGGGTAGTTTAGGGAATCCATATATATATATATATGGTGATGTCTTCGATACACTCACTTTTTTGGGTGCACTGAACGCACCTATTTTTTTTTTAATCTCAACCCTTCAGTATATCTAACGGTTCACAATTATTAAAAAAAATATATTTAATTATTAACTAATAAAGTGTATTGTATTTATTAAAACAGTTTTACAGTTATTGATATTTGCAGTTAAGCCCCTAATCCGGGAAAACTCAAATGAGTGAGTTATTAACTTTTTATCCCAAATTCCGCCTTTCATCTTTATTTACTTGCCCAATTTTTCCCTTTCTTCTCCCCATGCCGCTCCTACCCAAACCGAAGACCCCATTGGCCCGGCGACGGCCGCGCAATCTCAGGTGGATGGCGATGATGTCGACTCCGGCAAGTGAGAACTAATGTCGTGGTGTCTCCGATCCATCCACCTTTAGAATAACCATCCCGGTTGATGTTGGAGTCGACGATGAGCCAGAAGCTCCGATGGTGCCGCCGGCGACGGGGAATGACATGGGATGATACGGCATGATAAGGACGATCGTGGAGAACCAGTCGGCATGATAAGGACGTGGATCGTGGATGATACAACACTACCAGATTGCTTGCAAAAATTGAGGAAACGCCGGATCAAACAGAATTGAAATGAGTCATTGCCTGGTGGTTTGTGCGGCTCGTGCGGTTTGATATGTAGAGGAAGGCTTGAGATTGATAAATGGAAATCGAAGGGGGAAACTTATTTATTCTAGTGCTGATTGACTCTGGGGCGATACTCAGGTGTCAATTTTACTGATTATAGCGAAGTACATGAAATGCTCATTGGAACCGTTGCTGCTGTTAGAAGAACAGAAACAGAAGAAGGTTGAACACAGGAGAAGTTGTGTTTGATCGAGAAAGGCTCTTCTTCTCCCTGCAATTATGTTTATGGGCTTAAGTCTCTCTATTTTTTACTTAAGCCCGCAAGTGATTAATGCCCGAGGAAAGTATTGACGGTGGCAGAGGGGAAAAGAAACGACGAACAGGAGGATTAAGTGAGGGACTTAATTGCAATTATCATTAAGTATAAATTATTTTAATAAATATAATATAGTTTATTAGATAATAATTAATTATAAATCAATCAAATTAATGTAACCGTTAGATATATCTAATGGTTAAGATGAAACAAAAAAGTGGGTGCGTTCAGTGCACCCAAAAAAGTGGGTGTACCGAAGTAGCCACCATATATATATATATATCAAGAATAGGGTGTTACAGGTATTTTTTGTCTTCACATTGATCTATTTGTTTCTCATTTACTCCTTAAAAAAGAAAAGCATACTAGGATTTGAACCGTGGTCATTTTCAATAATGACAAGAATCTTAACCAATCAAGCTACATATATTAGTTGTACCATTTTAAATAAAAAACATAGATGAAACTAACATTAAAAAATAACAGAACTATTCAACGATTAGCTAAGGTCACTAAATCTTCCCTCGGTTACTGGTGTTTTTATACTTTGATTTTCATATTTTATTCTTTTAATAATACTTTGATACTTAATTTAAATTTCTATTTATCTTATAATTTTCTATATATTTTATAAGGTCACTAAAGTTCTATTTATCATTGGTTCAATATTACATATCGAATTGCAATATCGAATTTGTATAAGCGATGTTGAACTCTTACATTAGTATTACTTTATAGAACTACCGTGAGACAATCATATCCATATCTTTCTGCAAACAATATGGGGATGGGTTCTTTGGACGTTTTAGCTAGGCTAACCGTTAACTTCTAAACATCTTCATAATCTGACAGACACGATTGGATTCAACAATCATTAAACGAGGTTGAATTTAATAAGTTGGTTTATTTCCTCTTTTTTATGTATTAAAATGAATTGTAGAGCAAGGACATTTCTACTTATACACTCTACACAATATATACTACTAGCATGATAAAATTGTCGTCCCATTTCAAATTTCCTACAACGAGAGCAAAAGTATGAATGACATTTTTGTCTTCGCCATTATTTATCTTTATTTTGTATAGAAAATAGACAAGTATTGGGATTTGAACTAATGTATCTTCAAACACAGACAATAAGAGTTATGACCATGATTGTCAATTCGAGTATGACTCTACTGGTCAAACCAATTCTACCTAAACCTGAGTATCTCAGCGGGTGCCGAAGGCCCAGTTGGTTGTCTACTCGGGCTCGGTCAAAGTCGAGTTTATCTAACTCAACGGGAAATCCGACCGAGTTAACCAACTGATTCGAGCACCGGACCACTTCAAAATGATGTTGTTTTCAACAATTCATATATGTAGCTATGCTGTCATATCATCCTTTTACTTATTACAGAACCCAACAACATGAAGCATCACAGACCAGGTTCGACTATCCCATCGTCTCTTCTTCTTGTTTTATATTCAAGAGCCTACAATACAAGACCAAACCATCTCAAAAGCCATCATAATCACTCAATAGTAAATTTCATTTTTCTCCAGGTGCACAATCATAGAGCCGGTCGACCTCATTGAAGCAAAAATTATTAGAGAAACATGCATTTGAGTTAAAACTTTGTGTGACTAAGAGAGGCCAAATTCCTCATTTTAATTATTTTTTCATACTTAATTAAATTCCTATATATATCTTATTAATAGAGGATAACTTTAAAATCGCGGCCTAAATATCACTGGTTTGAATATTCCAAATCGAGTTGCAGTATTGAATATGTAAAAGTGATGTATAATTCTTAAATTAGATCTACTATGACACAATCGCATTCATTTCGTGTAAACTATATGAGAATGATTCTTTGAACATTTTAGTTCGCCTAACTGTCAAATTTTAAACTTCTTCCTATTCTGGCATGATTGGATCCAACAATCATTAAGAGTTTAATAATTTGGTTCATTTCACATTTTTTAAATGTGCTAATGAATTTATAGGGAAAGGACATGTCTTTATATACACTCTACACGATATATAATAGTAAAATGAGAAAATTGTTGTCTCATTTCAAATTTCCTACAACGAGAGTGAAAGTAGAATGTATATTTTTGCTTCACAATTATTTTTCAGAAACTACAAACTTTCAAAACTCAGAAATTGTAACTCAAACTAAAAAATCAGAGCATCGAAAATCAAAGTTCGCAAATTTTATTTAATATATCACTTATTTGAGAGAATTTTCTTTCTATAAACAAAGTTAAATGAAACAAGTTATAGCCAAATCAACAGTTTTGGCTTGAAGACGATGGCTCGCTTCTTCGTGGGAGAAAGAAATACATGTGGTGCCATCAAAGATCTGGAGAGCAAAGACGAAAATGTTACACCACAAGTTCTTAAATGAGGACTGTAAAATAGATCATCAAATCACAGGCTTGTGGTCAAATAAAAGAATAAGAGGTTAGTTAGATGGCTGATGATATAGAATTTGCCAATTTGGTACATCTACAGGAGATCTCCAGCGTCGGCTTAGGAAACAAAGAATCGAAGGGGAAGAAACGATGCATGGGGGGTGGATAAACGAATTGAGTGCATACGGATGGATAAACGATGCATTCATTTCTCTTTTTCTTTTAAAAAATAAAACTAAAAACTTCAATAAAAAACTAAAAACAGTATCGTAAACTTTGGTGGGTTTCTATTCAGATTTTGAAGTCTGTTCCCTTTTCGGGCTTAATTAGATTATTTAAAACTATTATCCTACTAAAATTATTTTATTTTTATTTTTCCGCTGCATTGTTGTAATATTTTGACTAAAAATGTTAGTAAGTTAAATGATGTATTAATTAAAATAATATAATATTCACGCTCATTCGGTGCACTCAAATTATAATTGTCAAAGAATATACGCTCTTACGCTCCCGTTCTAGCTCCTGCTCTGCTAATTGGTAAGCTAAATCCGTCGAGTCAATTCTGTAGACAAAGAGACTACTATCAGAATTCGCCTTCCATCACATATTGCCTTTTCTCGCAAGCACCCCCATGCTCAATTTTCACTTTGTCATTCCTCATTAGTTTTACATCTGACACACACCAGCGTCATAGGAGTGCGACCTTCGTCGCGTGATGAATACATGTTGTTGCAGTGCTTTTTAGGAGCTCGAAGGAGGATAGCGGAAAGTAGCAGATAGAGAAACAAATGTAGATAGTTCGGGTGAGGAAGAATGTTATCCATATATAGATGAGATTTATATAATTTATAAATATATGAACAATATAATGACTTCTTCATATATCCGGGCAAAAACGAACTAAAATAAATGAACCATTAACCCTCAACCCACTTAATCGACTGGGCCAACAGGCTAAACAGGGCAGACAACCTTTGAACTTTAAAATCAATATATTCTAAAAAATTTGGTGTTCCAGTTTTTATGATTGAGTCAAATCGATCAATATTTGTGGATTTTCAGAGAGGTTGAAATTCAAAAGTCGATCTTCAAGTTTCTTTTGTGACAGACAAGTTTTTGCGTTTAATTATTGTTGGGTCGAAGGAAGAGAAAGCGGAACAGATGGCGAATGTGATTGTAGCTATTAATTATTGGGAGTTGCATATGGAGAAGATAAACCATAAAAGAGGCTAAATTTAATTTGATAATGCTTATATACTATATAGTACAAGGACATGTTTGATTTGAAAAAGAATAGGGGGATAGATTTGAGAAAAATGAATAATAGAGTGACAATTTATGCTATTAACTACACATGGAAAGTCAAAGAGTATATTGGTAGAGTAGAATTTAAGCTTTTATAATGTTTGGATTCTCTTAACTTTGGTACGTGCATTAGTATCTAACACTTAACAACCTCCAC